TCAGCCGCTCCTTCGCTCCAACTTGCTCCCGTTGGAAATGGGGTTTCCCCTCCTGTTTCAAAAGGGGCCCTGGAATAACTTCTGACACACCTCTCTAGTCCCGACTGGCCTGAGACTAGGGCTGCCAGCTGTGGGATGGGGGATACCTGGAGATTTTGGAGGCGGAGCCTGGGGAAGGCGGGGCTTGGGGAGGGGAGGGACCTCAGCAGGGTGTAATGCCATAGAGCCCACTAGGCTTGCCAAGTCCCCCCGGGGGGCGGGGATCGGGCCCCGGGGGGAACTCCACCCCCACGTGCTTGTCACCCGGAAGTGATGCGGGTACGGCGGGCACGCTGGGGGCAGGGCCATGGTCATCCGAGGGAAAACTCTATGGTTTTCCCTCGGATGGTCCTGCCCCTGCCCCCAGCGTGCCCGGCGTACCCGCGTCACTTCCGGGTGATGTGGATGCGGCGCGCGCGTTCCAGACAACGGCCGGGAGTCCCCCGCTCCGGTAAGTTTCTGACTTGGCAACCCTAGAGCCCCCCCTCCAAAGCAGCCATTTTCTCCACGGGAACTGATCTCTGCTGTCTGGAGATCAGCTGTAACAACAGGAGATCTCCAGGAGCTACCTGGAATTTGTCAGCCCTCCCTGCAGCTCAGTTTTCCCTTCACTTCACAGGCTATGAGAACGGCAGGGGCGCAAAGCAGTACTGCTCCTCAGCAGCCTACCCATCCCTGCCCCCCACACACCTAGCAAAAGACGCATAAGATGCTACTGCCTATCTGGAAATCTGCACCCCACCCTCCCCCTCCTCAACACCCGCGATGCTGTCAGACTTACTTGTAGTGACTGAGGTAAAAAGCCGGACGTCATCGTTGGCGAGAGACGTGTAGCAGTACCAGCTCAGGTAGATTACCAGTGGAATCCAGATGGCTATGACCGTGTACCTGGAAGAAAGGTAAGCCCCTTTCAGGTTTGTGAGGCCAGCTGTCGCTCGCTGGCGAGGGCAGGTCTGGGAGGCTGGCAGCCCTGTAGGGACTGGGACGGCAGACAGGCACTTCTCCCCTGAGATCAATGAAGGCCAGGGCCAGAAAGGTGCACAGCCTAAGAGGTACACCCCACTGATCCTCTGCCGTGTCACAGGAGGACACTGGAGCCCATTTCCCCAGATCGTGGGCTATTTTACAGGCATTCCGGGACTCTCACTGTTCTAAAAGAGACGTTGATGTGGCCGAGGCTGGCCCTGACGGAAGTCCTCTGCCCATTTCTGGGAGCCAGGTAGTTTCCACTCCATGCACGTGCCGTGTGCCACATCTCCTATCCTCTGCACATCAGAGATGCTTATCAACCACACCCCAGTACCTGAAAAGATCACTGAATGGCTTGTTCCCCCCACTGACTGGACTAGGGGAAGCACGGTGTAGTGGTTAAGAGTGGCGGACTCTAATCTGGAGAAACGGGTTGGATTCCCAACTCCTCCTCTGCATGAAGCCTGCTGGGAGACCTTGGGCCAGTCACAGTTCTCAGAACTCTCTCAGCCCCACCTGCCTCACAAGGTGCCTGCTGTAGGGAGAGGAAGGGAAGGAAATTGTAAGCTGCTTGGAGACTCCTCAGGGTAGAGAAAAATGGGCTATAAAAACCAACTCTTCTTCTTCTCTGCAGTACAGCAGAATGTTTACCTTACCAATGGGTTACCAAGCAGCTGCAGACCAGCAGTGCGAATCCTAAGCAGAGTTATACCCTTCCAAGTCCACTGACATCAACAGGCTTAGAAGCCTGCTCGGGATGGCACTGTGGGCATTATCTCTGCTCTTCTGATCATCCTGGGGCCAAATCTAGCAGTCCTTTACAGGGCCCCTGTGCCCCTGCTTTCTGCACCGCTGACTCCAAAACCCCTCCCTTGGCTACAGAATGGCTCATTTAGTCCGCGACACCTAAACAATTGCCTGCCTGGAGAACAAACTGCCACTTCTGTCACTATTTTGTGTAAAGGAGCAACCAGCCAGATATGTCTATGAAAGAAGTTTCCGAAGGAGACTTGGTGAGGGTTGGTGTCCTCTGACACTTGTCCACAGCATCTGGCGATCAGAGGTCGGCTGCCATGGACCAGGGAGGCTCCATTTACCCTCAGTGACTGCTGATCACCCACCGCAGGGATGCCCATCAGCTGTCGGTTGCAGAGAATGGTTAGGGTGTAGATATTGTGTGGGAGAGGCAGGGTATTCTCTCTCTGGCCACTCTGTGTTTCACCAACTGCAGAAGGAGCAGGAAACTGGTGCCAGTGGCCAGGATGCTCGGAAGGTGGATGTTCCTCGAAAAGACTCCGTGGGTCAGGTTCAGTCCATGCTCAGGAACTCAAGCCATTGCATTTGGCATTGGGAATGAAGTTCCCTCTGCACACACAAACACACACAACGGTGACATCCCTGCCCACCCTGCCATTAACTTTCCTCTGCAACTGTCGTTTGACTTGCTAATGTGAACGAGTCATGAGACACAGTTTGCAGGGCCGCGTGCTTGCTCTCTGCTAATTATTAACTAACGGGGCTGTCAAATGGCACATTCCTTGTTCGGGCCTGGGGCTTGGACTAGAGACCCCTCTGCTCCTTTGCAGATCCATGACGCTGCGGCTTCCGTAACAGAGTATTAACAGCCAGGAGGAAGAGAGCCTGAGCTGCAGGCCCATTCTACCCAATGCGACATTATCTTCCAACTTAGCAGCATCTCAGATGGGTCCCCTCCCCTACGGGGAGAGACACTCAGCTCCTCCTCACCATTCTGTTTTGGAGAGGGACTCCATGAAATCAGAGTAGAACAGGCGGATCGGGCGGTCCACAGGTTGATGCACCCACTCGTCATACTTCTCCCCCAAGTAGCCCACCTGCCAGAGCAACGGCTTGCGCCAGTCCACGAGGTCCTGGAGAAAAGAAAGGACATGGAATCAGAGGTTATGGCAAGATCCAGCTGGGCACCATGGTCCACCAGTACTTCTCCTGGGCAGAGCCACTATAAGGCAGGGCTTCTTATTGGTTGCCCTCACTCAAGTGAAAGGGTTTTCCAGGAGCCATGGAAGATCAATAGGACTGGTGAGCAGCGCCTGGGCTTTTCTTAGTCAACAGGAGGTTCTTATTCTCCATTCAGATCTTCCTTCTTTTTATTCTCCCTTCCTTCCCCTGGGCTTTCCTTCATTTCTTTTTACTCCCCTTCTGCAACTCCTTTGCAGAGCAAGGAGAGAGGTACGGGGCATGACTCCACCCCTGTGGCAGCCATTCCCCCTCACAAAATTCCAAAGGTGGCCACAGGCTCAAAGTGGTTAGGTACAACTGCTCTAACTGTACAGTGTGAGCCACTACTCAGGTTACTCCTATGGGAACACAGAACGAGGTACACAGCGTGGAATCCACGGCTTCCCTTTCTTTTTTTTTAAAAGGAAAGCGGCAAGTTTCTAGACCTTGTGGATGTATTAGGACTGGGGTCGCCAGGTCCCCTCGCTGCACCAGTGGGGCGATTGGGGGGGGGGCGTTCCGGGATTTGGCCTGGAAGTGACGTCATTACATCGGCAATGTTGCAAGGTGACACTCTGGTTTGAGAGTGAAACTCTATGGTTTTAGGCCAAATTTACCACAGAGTTTTACCCTCAAACCAGAGCGTTCTGCATGGCATCACTTCCGGGTGATGTTATTGCATCGGGGACATTGTGTGGGGACGTGGCTGTTTGGGGGTGGGGTTTCCTCCACTGGCCAGCCGGCTGGTGGCCGGCTGAAGCCCCAAAAACCCGGGAAACCCCCACCAGGACCTGGGGACTGGCAACCCTAATTTGGACAATGCCTACCAAAATCTCAGAAGAGAGAGCAGGGCTGAATAGCATTCATAGGGGTCACAGGAAGCTTCGTATCTTTCCCTTCTTGTCAGCAGGCCTACGTGTAAGGGCATAGAGGCCAAAAGCTTCCTCTGTTGCCATCCCCAACCACAGGCTCTGATATTAAAAAGTACACTGCCTCCTGCCCTGCCCTGGATAGCCCAGGCAAGCCCGATCTTGTCAGAAGCTAAGCAGGGCTGACCCTGGCAAGTACTTGGAAGGCCGACCTACAAGGAATACTGGAGCCGGGATGCAGACGCAGGTTATCAAGCCACCGCTCTGAAATGTCCTAGCCCCACTAGGGGTCGCCAGAAGTCACCATGACTTCCAAGCTTGCAGGCACGCGCACACACACACACATACAAAATACGGACAAAAATAGTTTAAAAGTACACTTTCTCATAACACGGTAGGTCAGAGTAAATTATACAAAATCCGCAGGACTATCTGCACAAATTATTTAATTTGGATAATTTACACAAATGACAGTATCTTCAGGCATCTTAGGCCGTTACACTGGAAAACAATTTAAAAATTAGACTGTACAATCAACATTAGATTTATTACCTGCCATTAGCAGGCACCCAAGGAAGCGGAGAAGCAGAACTTGTTTGCCATACAGTGCAGAATTAATTTACAGACTATACTACTACAGGACGTTGTGATGGCCACTGAAATAGGTAGCTTTAAAAGTGGATTAGACAAATTCCTGAAGGAGAGGTCCATCAGTGGCTATAAGCCAGTGCCCAAACTGCGACCCAAAACCCACTTATTTATCGCAAAGTGCCAACACGGCAATTTAACCTGAATACTGAGGTATTCCCACCGAAAAAAGATGAGCTCCAGCCCACACCGAGTGGCAAGAGTGTGTGGGGGAGGTGTTTCTATTCCCCCCCTCAGGTGTCAAAACAGTCTAAAAGCACAACCACTGGCACCACGCTAAAAACCCAACCGGGAGCAGCAAAACCATGCCAGCTTTCCACAGGCTAGCTTGGCAAGAAAGCGCCATGGGTTTTTTCAAGGCACGGGGAGTCGGGGCCTGAGCACGGAGCAAGGGTAACACTTAGATGCTGGCAGATACTAATCGAATGTCATCAGCAGTCAAATAAAGTGAGCAAGGAAAGCAGATGGGAACCAGAAGGAAGAGACAAGACTGTCCACATGGACTGTGTGTGAGAGAGCGACAGAACAGGGGGAACACAGGGCAGATACTTGTTTCATAAACTGCATTTAATTTATGTACAGGAGCATCCTGTACACCGCCTTTCTCCACATGGTACCCAATATCGCTGGCATTAAATTGTGATAAAACTTTTCACTGACACATTTCAATCAGGAGGGTCACTGGCAGCGTTCCCTCTAAGTTAAGTAAGTGTGAGCTGGCTCACAGCTTTTTAGCCTCCGGCTCACGCATTTTTGTCCTCGCTTGGGAAGGATGGCTCCAGAGCGAACTAATTTATGTAGAGTGGCCAAATTGCTCGCTCACAACGTTTGTGGCGGTAGCTCACAAAGTAGAGTTTTTTGCTCACAAGACTCCACAGCTTAGAGGGAGCACTGGTCATCGGGGGTCACAGCTAGCACGGGGCACGTGGGGCAATGCCCCTTCCCAAATGTGCAATGCCCCCCGGCTTCGCCCCCAGCCCCAGCACATGACAATCGTCTCCTGCCCTGGTCATTTGCATGAAGTCAGAAAGGCGCCATCGCACTGCTTCCCAGCCCTCCCGTCAGTGTGGATTTCAACTGTTTTGGGGAGGGGGAGGAAGCCTGGGGCAAGCGGTGTGCTGCCCTCCTCCCCCTCCGAGCTTGCCCCACTCCCCCTCAGTAAGTTCAAGCAGCGCAACTTCTCTCCCCGCCCCCCGCTCCTGTGCCTTTGGAATCCCTTTGCTCTCTTCACATCTTCCCTGCTTGCCTTTCTGCCTGGCCCAACTCTAGGCACAATTACTGGCGAGTAACCCCCACAGATCTCCAACGTAAACCTGCCTTGGAGGGGCGGCTGCTGCTGCTTTTTACAGCACATGTTCGCTCCCTAGTTTCCTCCGCCTGGCCACCTTCCCAGCTGAGAGCCTCTCTTTTCTTTCTCTCTGCTCCCCCCTTCCTCCTCCTCCAGTACGGTGATTGAATGATGGATGCTGGAATGTCTTTTGTCCCTTGTGATCCTTGGTTCCGTTGGACTCATGGCAACCCCAGGGCATTTTTAATTAATAAATAAATTAAATTTGCCACTGTGCCCCCTCTTTGCCCTCCCCATAAAAATGTCTAGCTACGGGGCTGAGGGTCATTAAAGAAGCCTCTCACCTCTAGGATGGGAAGTCCTGCTCACCACCACTGACAGGCTGTGTCCAGCCGTGATGGAAAACAGCATAACCAAAGTGGGTTTAACCAGATAAATCCTGATTAAGACCACTGGGGCAACCCTGACATAATTTACATTTGGCATATTTACATTTGGCCCATCGAAATCCAAGGCGAGAAAGATTCAAGGCACATCAGGAGACAGTTTCCCATCCCCAACTTCTACTTAAAAGGTGAGGAGGAGATAGCAGAGCAGAAGAGACCTCAGCTGCATCCAGTTCCAGACATCCCAACAAGTCTGCAGTGGAACCCCAGTTGGGCACAAACATCACCGTCTGTCACTGTTCTCACGGGGGGCCCCTCATTTGTCCTCCAGCAAACAGAGTTTGGTTGGGAACTTCTTGATTGATCTCCCTGTTCAATGCA